AAAAAAAAAATTATAAATCCAAAGCCACCAAACTATTAGTAAGCACAGTTCACTAAACAGTAAACACAGATAATCCACTAAATGCATGATCAACAAGTTAACATGTACACCAAAATCAAAACCTCTACCATATATGAGAAGGGCTGCACATCATAAAAACTCGTAGATGAACTCAGTAATTGAGCAATGAATACTTCACTCTAACTACAATTTTCCCTTTCTCTACACTGAGTTTTCCACCGGTAACTAACCAGTGTCCTGGGGGATCTTGTGGGCCCTTGCTCATTTCCGACATGTCAACAAATTTCGGCAACTTGTTGCCCACGCTATTTTCCCCAGAGCTTGAACTTGAGTCGTCGGAGTTACTTCCACCGGAAAACTGTTTTCTTGACTTATCGTTCAAAACATGATCCCATAATGATCTACGTATTGTGCATCCCGGAAGCCTTGAATACAAAAGCTTCATGTGCAAGACATTTCTCGACCCAAAATCCCACACCCCGAGTTGAGCTCCAGTGACTACGTACACACCCGAGAGATGACCGCCTATGAAGGTCTCGGAGTTTTCAATGGGTGCAGTGCTGACATGGGAAAATTTCTTCCACTTCACTGGCTCAAACCATCTGCTGTCTTGTTCTTCGGGACCCTGCCATTTTGGAGCACCTATTGCAACATGCGTATCCCAGTAGGGCTGTAGAATCTTAGGAAGAGATGCCAAATGCTGAAGATGAATACTAAGTCGATTTTGTTTGATTCCTTCAAGACATAATCGCATACCAGTTACAGGCTTGCGGCCAACTGATACCTGCGACCAAATTAAGCTAAGTTCCAATAATACACTAAACAAAGGACAATACAGGAAAAAGGTTGGACGAAATATGCATTGGCTCTTAGATTCAACTCTGCAATGAGCACTAATGGACTAATATCATAAACTACATTTAAGGTTTGTTTGAGCCCAAGGAAAATGAGTTTCGTAACAGTGATTTTATTTTTTTTATTTTTTATTTATTTACTTATTTTTTGCGGAGAACGTCTCATTAAAAAGTAGGAATAAATTTTGAGATTACGTGTAAAATTATTTTATTAGAGAATGTGTGGTTGAAAATGAATTTGGGTAAAAGGAATTTTTAAAGAATGGAACAGGTGCTAAATTCCCAACCTCGCCTTATTCAGGTTTTCTTCCAAGATAATGCAATTCAATTTCACAAAAAGACTTGTATTAATTACAGCGTTCTATAAATTACAACTGGTGTTCCTTGATGCTCCACGTGTGAACCACAGACACTTAACTTTTGTCTCAGCTCTAAAATTCGATAATTCATCTCCATTGACAATTTAAATGAAACACATCAATATTTTACAACCAAAGTATATAAAGTTCAAGTAAAGGGTGAAATGCCATCGCAATTGTAAATAAATATACATACTTGCTCTTGGCTGACATACAGCTTTTGCCCCATCATGCTGAACTGCAATGACGGGCAAACAGGCTCCTTTCTTGGTTGTCCAGGAAACCTATCCTGTACAGGGGCCCATATCCGAGGGACCTGAAATTCTAGGAAATATCTCAATTCTTCGATTTGAGGCTTGTCTGCACATCGATAGTGTAAAAAAAGTTCAGTGTGGCTAATAGCAGGAACCCCACCCCCCCCCTCCAACCACAAAAAAAAACTATCACTACTGTATTGCTGAAATTATATATAAGTGAAGGAAAACTTGAAGGAATGAGATGTCATACATTCAAGGTATAGACCTATAGCACGTGCCAGATAGTCCTTCCCTAAAACTCCTTCAAGAAGTTCTGTTATTGGTAAAAATGACATCTCAATGACATCTGGAGAAGATCGGACTGTCCTAACCCATTGAGTGTGGCTCTGTTCAAGATCATCCCCACCCCTTCTTCTGAAAATGATTGTAACATCCTGCATGAGATATAATCTTATAAAATTCTGGGAGCAAATCCATTCATATGCAGGCATAGGT